GAGCTCTCGTTTACATAAAAATGCTTATTGCAAGAAGCACGCATTATGTAGCACTAGCGGTAGGAAGTACATTGCGGAATACATTTTGTTGAATATTTTTGTGATTAGTGAAAACGTCCATTTATACTAATTAGCTATCATAATACGATTAAATATGAAATACTTACTCCTGTTAACTACTAACTACTATTAGAAGTACACACGTAAAATACCTGTGTGGTGCGGAGTCCCACCATCACATACTTCGTATATGTCAGCTACCATCTACTATCACGATTCAAAGTAAGCCAAAATAGTTAACAAAAGCCTTAATAAATTCCCTATTACGTGTTCCGACACATGTGTACTTGGCCAGCTTCTATCCTCTGTTATTTCACTTTTATAGCTGTGCCAAGTACCGCCGACGAACAGGATTTTTCCGAAGATAATCGCAACCCAACGTTTTGTAACAACTTGTTTAGTCTCTTAGTATATATTTTCTAATAACTACCTTATCACTAAGAAGTACTAACACAAGTAGAATATTTACAAAATACTATATTTCATCTATCTATATCTATATATTTGCAAAATAAACTGTTATTAGGAGACTTTATTAACGCAATAGAACCCAAAACAATGATTTTTGGATTTTCGTCTGTTTGTCTGTGCTTCTGTGCGCGCTAATTTCAGAAACGGCCAATACGATTTGGGTGCGATTTTCACTAGTGTATTGTTGTAAGCTTCACTTAACATTTAGTTTTATTTGAATCAGTTCATAAATAAAAAAGTTATGTCATTTTAAAGAACCACCTATGGACGAACGCGAGCGAAGCGAGGTTGAGTCGCTAGTCTTAAAAAATATAATATCGTTATTTAAGAATATTATATGCAGCATAATAAGTAAAAACTTATGATTTAGGACCTCCTTGGCCATAATTTTGGTATGTTTTAAAGTTCTAACAGTGAAAGTTACAACTTGATGTTGGTAAAACATATACACACATATTTACGTTTAATTTTTTGTTATTATTTTAAATATTATTAATTAAAGATACAATTATTTTTGTGATTTTTATCAATCCGCTTCGCATGAGAATTTATAAACCTGACGCGTCGAGCGCGCGCCAATCGCGTCATGGCTGAGGAATGTCATAGTGGCGTTCTACGAGAATCTACTACTATTGTATGTATATGGGCAATTGTACGATTCAGTCTTACTATAAAATCTTAATATATATTTTTTTCTTTGTTTATATAGGTATTAGTGACTCGCCTTATATCCAATGGAATACCCATTTCCAGTGTACCGGGAGACAAAAGAGCCTTCGCGATATTCCGACCGTACGTCAATCTGTTTCTTTGATGAATGACGACAAAAATATAAAAATACAAAAACATTATACATAGTATAGATTTATAAAAATATAATTGGTAAATATTTTCAGTAATCGATCTATTAATTTTTTTTAACAGTTAGTGAACATCATATCCTTATTCTTCCGCATCCCACGGATTCCCTTTATTTTCCATGCGTAAAAATGACTAAAGGTCTAGCTCATGTCAGAAATATGTTAGAAGATGAAAACGTATTTTAATCCCTTTATTGGTGTTACTTGACAACTCCATGCTATAAAAGCACAATTTCTTATCTTTTATTATCTCGCATTCTTTTAAATATGAAAGTTAATAAAAATTAAAATAATTATAACAGTCGGGAATATAAACATGTAATATGTATAAAGAAGTGTACGTGTTTTAAAATAATCTATAAAATAAATGTAGTGGAGCAGAACCATACTGCAATATTTTATAATTGAGTAGACATGATGCACTCATTAAAGGTAAAGAATTAGAAAAATCTGATAAAAAGAGCGCGGTGGTCTCAGGCTCGGAACTACCGCGTTGTTTTCACCGTACTCGACTTTCGCGTGTGACTCGTCGCGTCGCACTGTGCGCTTGCGCAGGTCAAAATACCTTTTTCAAACATCTTTATATCTTCTTATTTTATATCATATTCTTCTCGTGGCATGCATAGTTTAAGAAGTAATTAAAAAATGCTTACAACCTTATTATGCTTAATAAATTATTGTTACCAACTTGCAACATTAATTAAATAGTTAAGATATCCTAATGACTTGGCTCTGGTATTGTGACATACATTATTAAATAATGAACTAGTACAGTTGAAATGCGACGTCGACATCGAGCTTCTAATGATGTGAATGGTGTGAAAATGTACGTAGATTGATTCACTAACTAGTTTTGCCTATTTGAGCAATTTCGAATACTAATAAAACATGTTTTAAATAATTTACCGCAACTTTATGTTATGACATTTTATCTTTAATGTGAAACAACTAATTAAGAAATGTGTGTCTCGAACTTCTCAATGAAAGTCGTTCGGACGGTAACGTCATCAAAAATACGGTTGTAGTGATTTCTTTTAGAGGAGGGACTGGAAGTTCTACGCACACTAACGTTTGTGTATACTCGCACATACACACTACCATTAGACGTGTAGACTGTACGCACTATAACACATCATATCATATCATATCAGTGTGTGCTAATTTAATAGATATCTCCTTTTGCCGCTAAGAATGTGCATTTTACGTTTTTATGTTTATATTAAAATATACAGATCGATAATAATAATATAAATTGAACCCTACCATTTAACAAAGTCATGTGCGTGCGCATACCTTAGAAAAAACGATCCCGTACGATGACAGCCGGTGAAGGTCGCTTAAAGGCATGCGAGAAGTCATTCTTTGCCTGCCATTACTTTTGAATAAAACAATAAGTATAGGTTTTTATATATCTATACTATTTATATATTGATTCATTTGAATTCTCGATGAAGCATTCTCGTTTATTTCTACTTCATAAGTACTCGTGCTCGGTACTTATACTTATGTAGGACTCCGTAAGAAACAGTACAATTGAATTTTACCATTGTTTAAGTATATTCCGAATAAGGAGAGTGAAATTGCCCACACAGTGCAAACGCGCATCGTCACTCCACCATGTACACCATGTATTAACAACAAATATATTAGCAAGGTTTGATGACCACCGTGCTTAAAATCAATGCGTGGCAATAATCGTTAGGAATTTGTGTTGTAAAGTTCACTGAAAACGTATTAACAATTTATTAAATGACAATTTTTATATAATGCCAAGACATATACTTTATTCTGATAAAGTTTTACTCGTACATGCACTTTTGAGAGTCTATTTGAATAAAGTATATACATGTAATATAAATATCACTTCATATTAATGTATTCATCTACTTTCAGAGGATCAAGTTCAAAAGAGCTGTTCAAGTTCAAGAGGTTGCTTCAGAAAGACATTAGTATATATATAATTAAGTACCATTTGTTTTAAATAGAATTTAACATCAAATTAAATATAATTTAGGCAGATAGCATTCCATTAAACGAGGCTAATCGCTGATGCAAAGTTCAGATAAGAAAATTCTTATCGTAGATTAGTATAATTGTATTCATGACTCCATACCTAGAGTTAGAAAAGTAATGGTTAGCTCGTACTTTTGTTTGACCAACCTGGTGCTAAAATGATTTTCTTTGCAAAATTATGTTTGATAGACCAGACAGTTTACATAATTATGGTATCTATTGTGAGCAGATAGCTCCCAATAACCTGTTGTATGGATGTTAATTTTAATGTTTGCTTATTTCTCCAAAATTGCAATTTTTTCAGATACGTGGCTTAGGTATGTAAACTAAAGCGAATTATCTAAATTAAAAAAAAAACAAATTACTTTTTTTAAATTATTGTTGCTTATTTTACATGTTTGTTATTTATATTATTTATAAGATTTTATAATGTTTTAAATTGTATTATTTCGTATTTGCAATTAAAATAATAAATAATTAATCCCTCATCGACCGCGGACACGCCGGTGTTATAGTTAGCGGATTTTTTTAGAAATTTAATTAATTTCTTAGAAATTTACCTGGAGGTGTTAAAATTCTATCAAGTCTTCATAAGATTGTACTTATAATATTTGTCTATATGAATGGGGTCAAATTTGGTTTTCTCTTCAGTATATTTTACGATGTTTTTCATTCAATAATAAAATAAAATGCGACATATGAAGTACTGCTGACCTATGCAGACTTCCTGTGTAGACGTTGCTAGTGTTATGACAATCGTGTGTAACGCGAGCACGTCGCCGGCGCCGCGCAGGAACTCCATACTAGTGCTTGAGCAACGGTCCGGGCGCGCTCGTCGTCCGGTGCCTTTGGCTAATCCTGGATTAGGCTGCGATGTGTGAAGCTAATTGTAATTAAAATTCAGCTGAGCGAGGCCCGACGTGTGAGCCGGAGCGGAGCAACGACCGTCCGCCGCCCGCCCCGCCATCTAGCGGCCGGCAGTCGCACCGTTTGTAGCATCTCTCTATAATATTCCAGTAATTAATACAAAACATTTCCGAGTGAATGTAACCAATCTATGAGTTAAGGATTCCTCAAATACCGAATAGCTTAATTTAGACTAATACGGTGGTAACTCTTCATATTTAGCTATGTTCTGTTCGGATATAATGTCGCATATTCAAAATGTAATGTTATGTTATTGTCGGTTGCTATTGAATGCTTAAAGGAGTATGTTAGGCAGCATTGCGGGAAAGCGGCGCTCTCTCGAGTCGGCCTCGATCCCGAAAGGCGCGGGCGCAGTGACGTGTCACACGCGGTGCCACGCTCGTCTATATAAAACTTAACCTAAATAATTTTGTACTCACCTCCTTACAACAGTAAATGGATCCTTTGAGGTAGAATAGCGATAAATAATACAACACTACACTCACGGCGATACTTCGCGCCTCAGCGGCGACCCGGTATACACTGGAGGCCGTACTCGTGTTCCCCCGCTCCGTTCGCTCAGCCGAGCTTCCATAGGTGAGACAGAGGAGGGCGCGGAGGCGCGGCGCGGGCGAGTCATCAGTGCCTCACAGCGCGCCGCAGCCACCGCGCGCATTCACAATCCGAGCGATGTCCGCGAACGGGTCGGCGGCCGCGGAGCCGCGGCTCTGCCACGTGCGGAAGGTGCCTAATTTTGATGGTTATGGATTCAATCTACACGCAGAGAAAGGTAAACCCGGCCAATACATTGGAAAAGTCGATGAAGGTTCGCCGGCGGAGACGGCCGGCTTGCGACGCGGAGACCGCATCCTTGAAGTGAACGGACAGAGTATCGCGGGTGAAACCCACAAACAAGTCGTAGCACGCATTAAGCAGCGACCTGATGATGCGGAATTACTGGTCGTGGCACCGGCGCCGGGCGACCCCATGCCCGATCTGGACGCACACGAGCGACCAGCCTCCGCAGGGTCTATTACCGCGCCGCCCGCGAATACTGTTTCGCCTGCTAGTTCTCCTGATTCTGCAGCGAACGTCGATCGTAACGATTCTCCCACACCGGAGCCTCCGCGTCTCAATCTTAAGATGACAGCTGCAGAGATGCGCGCGCACCTCGCCGCTAAGAAAAAAGTAGATCCCAAGAAGGTGCCTATGGACCTTAAATCCAAGTTTGACATCGTAAAGAAACTTTGAGGTGCCAGGTGCGAGAGTGTGCGTGCGAGGGTGTAGTGCGTAACGTAGATGCGCTTGCGGCTCGTCTGCGGGTCGTGCAGGGCTGTGTGCGTGCAGTCCACAATGGCGGCGCCCCGTGCGGCAGGTGCGGCGGGAGTGGGGGGAAGTGCGGCGGGGGCCTTAGGTACGTGCTCAACAACCGCCTCCCCCCTCCGCAACCCCCCGGCGTTACGCCGCTCTTATCGCCGTGCAGTGACATCAGTGCTCGTCGAAGTCATGTTTGATTTGCGATCTTATTCAACTATTCACTTGTACAATTTTTAATGTATAGTTTTAATGCGCCGCTGCTTCACCCGACATTATGTAACATATCGTGCCTTACATTTATTGCCATTGAATGTTGTACATATGTACTGCTCGTTGTTAAGAAATTTTATTTGAAATTTATTATTAATACTATTGTAATTATATTTAAGAGGAAGAATCGATTTTTATGAAATGATTACCTAAATGTGTAGTTAGATTTATTTACATGATTAAGTGCAATTATTGTTGAGTGATCAATAAAAAACGTTTAAAATATTATGTTGTCCCTTTTCCTGTAAACGTTCCAACTTAGGGTCCTCGTTCCTAACATTCATGTCTTCTTGAGTATTAAAAACCTACCTTTATTAATAAAATACAAAAAATATGAACATAATGAACTACAAACTCTACTTGTACTATCAGATAGCCATTTGAATTACACATTAATCTACCAGAAATACTTTGTAGCTTGACAGGTACTAACTAGTAATTAATTACTTGATATCATGATCTACAACTTTATTGAATATGTACATAGATGTCAGATGTACATACATTACTGATGGTCATTTTAGATTAGAGATACCCCATGTTAAGTTCTCAGTATGTAAGTTAAGGTAAATAAGCTTCACGCATTCATAAGCAACCGGTTTTTAGAGCTTCGAAAGCGGAAAGACGATCCAACTCTACATGGATTTAATAACTACTGGTTGGACCTCTAGTGATTCAGATTGAACATTCATAGTTAAAATATTTTTATATTATTAGAACATTCGTCTCAAATAACTAAACTGTATATAAAATGTGTAAATATCGGGGAAAACCCATCATCAACTAAGAACGTATTCTTTCAAAGTGTTTAGAATCCTCACATAAGGAGAGCTAATATGTAAAGGATTGTACATGGTCATCGATGAATATTGTGCGACGGTATCCTTAGTTTTTGCTATTAAGAAGTAAATCTCACGGCTCAACACGGCCTTTGCCGGGCCGCCGCGTCGACCTCGCGCAGCCGCGAGATGGATCGCCGGTCGACGCCAATACCGTTCATATCAAATTCATATTTATCTCACATAAACGCGAACGACTCACAGTTTTATGTTACGTTCTCGAGTATTATCTATTAGAGCCCATTTTCACAAAGTGAAGTACTTGATATGTGCTAATATCAACTCTTTCTCGTAGATGCTCTAGTTTTGGATAGTTCCCTCTATTAGGTTACGTATTTGAATACGAAAGATTATTTTTAGTCTATATTTTTTATAAATATGTTTAGTACCTAGGTATATGTTAAATGTACGTTCTTTAAATTTACTTTGGAACGATGCTTCATGCTACTTATAAAAAATCATTTACTATTTTTTTTTATTCCAAAGTCTGCTCGTAGTACCATACATACCACCATATACCATGCAGATTATTCAAAGTTTAAATAATAATTCTTTATCAAATACAAATTTAATTGTAACTGAGTACAGCGTCGCCTATTGTAGTGGTGGCCGACGCGGCTGTCGCTGCGCGCGCGCAAGGTCGCAGATAGCGCGAGGCTGACTCACCCACTACGGCTATTTCCACTTTGCCATACTTTTTATTCACAAAAAGACGCAATATGATTTAAGGCACAAAAACCGTGTTTGTGATAAGTTCTTAAGTGCTTACAGACGGTCAGAGCAATACCATCAATCATTTTTAAAAGTTTTTACAAAATAGATATTTGTTTTAAAACATCCAAAACCAGGGAATAGGGAAAAACCTTGCAAAACTAATTACAGAAGCAAAGTTGTTTCGTCGGAATCATTTCCTTAATTTGTATTCGAATTCTATTTTACTGTTTATCTTATATGCAGTCTGAGGTTCTGGTATAGGTAAGTACTACATCATTATTTTTCTTGGTAATTGTAGAAAACACACGGACTCAGTTCATTTTTTAATGTCGGTCAATAATACACCATAATACTATTAATTAAAAAAATATATTAATATACAAAGATGCTGATATATCCATACTAATATTATAAATGTGAAAGTGTTTGTTTGTTTGTTTGTCTGTCCTTCTTTCACGTCGAAACGGAGTAACGGATTGCCGTGATTTTTTGTGTGAAGATAGTTGGAGAGCTGGAGAGTGACATAGGCTATATTTTACCGCGAGAGACTATCTAATACTCACAGGAAAACACGTTATAATACAATTCATAAAATTATTTATGATCAGAATTACTTGAAACTTGGTAATTAATGCTTTTTAATAAAATTAAATAAATAGGTGTTTTAGCATTTTTCGAAATTCAACCTATAAGGGGGTAAAATTAGGGATGAAAGTTTGTATGAAACTAACTTTTTAGAGTTTTTTTTACAGTTTTAGCGTGAGCGAAGCCGCGAGTTCTGCTAGTAAGAAATAATTATAAATAATACATACCTAAAATATTACGTAGCTGTAGAGTGTAGTTAAACTGTGCAATGAAGTAGAACGCATACCTACTCACTCAAGCTATAGTGGGATTGTGGTCCCACAGCTGATCGTCAGTGACCTCCAAAGAAGTGTGTTATGAATCATGGTTATGACGTTAGTAGCAAGTTATTATGCCATTGTGTTATCTACAAAGACTTCTTATAGACAGCATATAATATAAGTAATACTGCTGCAAAGTTTTCTGACATAGTTTCATCGATGTGTGAAGGGCGCTAGTTATAAGTAAATTTATTCTAACACTAGAACCTACGGGAACCGTACATTTTTCCGGGTTAAAAAGTAGTGTATGACGTATGTGCTACTCCAGACTATAATCTCCCTCTTATCCCCTGTGCCTTTCATTTAGATCGTTTAGCTGTTCTGGCGTGATTGTATAACGAACATCCAAATATCCATTTAATCTGTCACATTTATAATATTAGTAGGATAGTCAAATAAAAAACTGAAAATTGTAAAGTAAGCTGCAAGTATGTTAACAGTATTAGTTATGGTAGTAGCAGTATTAGTTATTGTTTTAGTATCTATATTTATAAACGTGAAAGTGCGTTCGTTGGTCTTTAGGAAGGATTTTTTTCGCGCTGTAGCAATTCTTTACGGTAAAACTCACTGAAGGGACGCGCCGCGCGCGGCACTGGGAGGCGAATCACTTGTTATTCATTTGAAGTTTCTCGTATTAACCGAATAAATGTCATTGTCAAATAGAAAGTGTTTTGAGGACTCGTTTGGCTCACTTTGTAGTGACCCTACTTACTGTGCCAGAAGTCGAAGGTTCGAGACCTGTTGGGGGCATTTATTTGTGTATGAGCACGACTGTTTGTACTCCAGTCGTGGGTGTTTGTACATATTTATAATATGTATCTATTTTAAGTTATACATATATGTGTAGTGTCTCAACTTTCTGGTATCCATAACGCAAACCTTGTAACATGGAACTATATGGTGCTGGGTGCTAAGTTCCCAGCATATGTATTTATTTATTTATTATAGAAAGTACTGTACAATATATTATGTGTTTGGAGTCAGAAACCATAGTTACTTCGTCGTACATCTACTTAACTAATACTTTTAAATAAAATCACTTAGTTTTTAATTTAAATTATTTTAAATTTAAAGGTTTTTTTAATATTTTTTTAAATGTTTACTTTAGTATTTTGATCGTTAATATGAAACGTAACAAGAATTTTATGTTTTTAACATTTGTCTTTACTTCGCGACACACTTCTGTGCTAACATTTGCATACGACAGATAAAGTTGGAATTTTAAGAAAGTACGTGCATATCGCTGGGGTTAATTTCCTATAGCTCTAGCGAAGAGGTCTTGTCCCCGTCAGCATACATAACAAGGTATTTAGCAAGCTCCACTACCTCTATATTTTTTCACACTTTTCTATTTTATCTTTCCAAAGTTAGAGGAAGAAAGTACAATGATAAAACCGCAATTAATGTTCACGACTTAACTGTAACTCGGCTATTATGGGATTTTTAACTAATATACTAACAGACTAACTTCTACGTTATTTTTAAAGACCTAATGCTATATATACCTGAAGCTTAAAGTCCCTCCTTCTCCTTCTTCTTTAAGATACATGTAGGTATAAAGTGGCATTCTTATTTTGCTATACCTTTTTGCCTGCGGCTTCGCTCACGTATACTAAAAAATTTACTCAGTTTTAATTTCCATTGAATTTATATGTTGTTATATCGATTTTTTTATATTATGTCCAGAGTAAAATTCTAGATTCACTTAACTTAGCCTACGCTAAAAAAACCAACCACAAATATTCCACATTGGTGGATGTTCTGTCGAGTTCTGGGTTCTGCTAAAATGTCCTTGTGAGAAGCAATCCTCTTTTAAGTCTACGCCTGCTACTTTTAAGGACTGCCCCTGAGATATATTAATGGTCAATCCAAAGCAAACTTTAAGGACCAATTACAATAGATTAAATTCATAGGCGTAGTCAGAGGTTACCAGTGATATTCGAGATATGAATTCTGATTCCCCCAAGTATATCTAGCAAACACAGTGCCCACTACAATGTTTAATGAATTACTCACAGTTTAATCCCGATACATAACTTAGGTGACATTTTCATTACAAAAGTGCCAACCTTTAGAAGGAATATAGATAGCAGGATACTCTCTAGCTAGGTTCTTTCTCTCGCGCTCTAGGTCTGTTATAGTTGTCACTGCTGTGGCCAGCCAAAAAGTTATAGTTAATTTTCCATTGAATTCGGAATAATTTCCGTTCTCTACTTTATATCTCACACAAGTGTGCACTTATGTAGAACTTGAGCCATGTTACTCTGTTTAAATATATTCAACCAAACCCAACTTCACCACCCAGTTTTACCCATTTAGGGCGTGAATTTTGAAAAATTCTAAAATACTTACAACATGTAAGTATTTTATAATTTTTCAAAATTATATTTAATTGTATTTTATTGCATGTATTTCGCAGTAATACCAAGTTTCAAATAATTCTGACCATAAACAATTTTTCCCCCTTATAAACATAAAAACCCCCTTATACCTTTTTAATGGATGAATGTCGAAAAAAACTGATCTACTCGTAAGTAAGTATTGTTTTATTTTTTATTTTAAAGACAAATATCACTTTTCTTGCATTTCACATAAAAAAGTTACAGAGTTTCTACAAACTTTCATCCTCTATTTTACCCCCTTATGAGATAAATTTCGAAAAATGTTTAAACACATATTTATTTAATTTAAATATAAAATTTACGGATTTTAGTCTGATTATGAATAATGAAACGCTGAAAGTAACTGAATCAGCAGTATTTTTAGGTATAACACTAGACTCCAAACTCTAGTGGAACTCCCATCTCTCAACACTTGCAGGTAAACTCAGCTCCGCCGCCTATGCAGTTAGGAAAGTTAAAAATCTAACGGATATTGACACTGCTCGACTTGTATATTTTAGTTATTTTCATAGTATTCTATCTTATGGAATACTTCTTTGGGGCAGTGCCGCGGAAATTAATTCGATATTTATTCTTCAAAAAAGAGCTGTACGGGCTATTTATGATCTAAGAGCTCGTGATTCCCTGCGAGATGTTTTCAAAAGAATTGGTATTATTACGGTTGCGTCACAATATATACTGTGTAATATATTACTTGTTCGTAAGAATTTAAATAATTATGTAAAAAACAGTGATAGACACACAATAAACACTAGGAATAGAAATAAGCTTGTTACCGCCTAGATTTCGTCTCAAAAAGGTGAATAAATCCTCCATGGGCTTGAGTATACGCTTATATAATAAGATTCCACAAAATGCCCTAGATTTACCTTTTCAAAATTTAAAGATAATATTAAAAAAGTTTTATTGAGCAAAGCGTATTACACTGTTCAAGAGTTTCTTGTTGATGAAAATGTATGGAATTGAGTGATATTGACTCATATGCATCATATGCCTCATATGCAGGCTATCTATTTTATGTTAATAAAATAAATGTAACCTATATATTTAAAAGTGCAACTGTTGAGTTTCTCGCCGGTTCTTCTCAGCAGAACTGCTTTCCGAGCCGGTGGTAGCTTCCTCACAGACTGACTACACTGAACTGACTTTCATTAAATTGACGATTCAAAAGTACTTGTAATAAGTCTAATTGAATAAAGCTTATTTCATTTCAATTGTATTGAAGAGCATTAAATCCAAGTTTCAAGTAATTCTGATCATAAATATTTTTTATATGTTTTTGATATTACTTTTATATATTTATTTAATAAATTGGACTATTCGATAATGATAGAGTTTCATACAGTATTTCATCCCCTATTGGACCCCCTTAGAGAATCAACTTCGAAAAATCCTTTCTTATCGGATGCGTATATCTATAAGGAATACGTCTTCCAAATTTCACGTTTCTGCGACCAGCTGTTTAGGCTGTACGTTGATCCATCCCTCAGTCAGTCAGTCAATCAGTCAGGACAAAGTATATGCTACGTTACTTTGCAAACTGGTGCAACGAATAACCACTTTCAATATTAATAAGGACCTCATAAACATGTAATGAGCTCACAATCCAAGTCCACCATAATATATTCTTTTTTTTGACGAACTCGATATCCTTAATCTGTTTTGTAAAAGTACACCAAAGTAGGTTTAATTAGTTTAGGTACCAAACGTAGGTAAGTGGTTTCTCCATGAATAAATGTAGAACGAGTGAACTGAGCGCTACTACAAAATGAAAAATTGTATAATTTAAGTGTATACGTAACGTAGGTAGGTAATTTTAAACATAAAAAATATGAACTTACTTATATAAAAATATGTAGCTATGTAGTGTGAAATATATTTTTCAAACAGTCGATAGAAAATTATATATATATTTTGACTTGAAAATATTTATAATAATTAGAAAATTAACGAAATTGTAAGTAGGTACGACTCTACTGTAGTTTCATAAAGAGGAATCGACGATATTGGGAAAGATTGCCGACACACACGGGTCGCTATTGCCTGCGCAAGGAGCGGCGGTTCCCGGATGCGGTGAAACTGTATTACTCGCGCTGTGTCTCAATAAATACGTAGTTTGTACCCACGAGCGCGTCCGCGGTCGGCACGCGACCTAACTACATCTTGCCAACTACTTTCTTCAAAAATGAGTCTCTTTAATCTCCTACTGCTGTGTACGGGCCTCCCTTCAATACGAGGCCCTAATCCAACACGTCGCCAAAGTGCGGGTTGGCGGACTTCACATATCTTCTCTCTCTAAGTTCTCTCAGACGATATTTTCCTTTGTCGTAAATGAAATGGTAATCATGTTGAAAATGATTTGCACATGAAAATATCAGAGGTGTGAGACGTCCGACTGACAGTAGGTGAAGCGTCACTTAGTCCAAACAAGCGCGCTACCACTGGGCTACCATTGTCTTTAATTTAGTATATTATGAAAGTTAAAAGAGCTACGCTTTAAAGTACTTTAGTTTATTACTATTACAATTAAGCTTCAGCTGTATGAACAAAAATTATAATTAATGTAAAACTTAACGTAGCTATTAATTTTATTATAATATACCTAATACATACTAATTTCTATTATATAATACAAAATATACGTATTAATTTCTTTAAACTAAAAAAAAACATGAAAACTAATTTCGATGTTAACGTTAAAATATGTTAAACCCATAAATGTTCACGAATAAAACAGCTATGTATTCAATGTATAGTACTAGGTTTATTAAAACGAGGCATAAAATAAAGTCAACAACAGGTACCTGCGCGTAAGCAGTTCAACTAATCTCGCTAGTAACATCAAATTAATAAAAGTAATTGTCCATTCTTATCGAAAAGCATATAATGGGCAGGTAGCGAGGCAGCCGTATGCCTCATTGCGTCGCGCGGCGAAGGCTGCACTCGACGTCAACAAGAGCTGAATGTATGCCAGAGCGACGCGGCGCCGAGTACAGAGCAGCGCTCGCGCACACCTAGTTGCTCACTGATGAGCAGGTAGGTACACTCGTGTGTACTCACCGCGCACATTACAATAGGTTATAAGGAATGATCGTATTTAAGAGGAAAATATAACTTTAATGTTTAAATAAATTACTATAGCTCGACATAACATGTATGTAAATATGTCTCAGTCACTCAGCAAATTGTCACGTTTCACGAGTAGTTCAATGACAACGATGAAGTAATCAGGAAAATATTAAAAACTAATTATGTATTTTTACTATTATAATTAAAATATCTGTAGCTTCATCAGTACAAAATTACATTTAAGTCATTGTAAAATTAATATGTTTTGCATATTTAATTAAATAAGAATAACATACGAGTTAAAAATATTTTTTTTTAAATTAAGTAATAAAAAAGTTTAATTTATTACCTACTTACACAAGTAGAGTCCGAACTGTCCTTGGGAGTTTGTCAATGACTGCGTGAAGCACAGATATTTTATCTTGTTTCCGAGTCTGACCTTACTCTATCGGACTGTGGCTCTTTAGTCATTAAAATAATCTGTAAGCGATCAAACATCGGATTAAAAACCTGACGAAGCTCTACGACGTGTATAATAGATATTGTATTATCAAAGGCACAGAGATTGTCACTTATATAAGCGTTATGTTGAAATATTTGTTCTATTGACTGGCCCTATCTACCTAAAAATAGTTATTTAAAAAAATTAACGCTGTTTTAGATTAAACTAATAATTAAGGCCATTTTGCTAATTTCCGGAAGAGGTAAATCGATTGTAAAGGGAGTTTGTTTAACTGCCTGACTTTTCCGCTAATTAAAGAGATGACTAAATAGACATATCTGTTTTTTTGGTAAATATATATATACGAGTATATATATATAATAACTGTTTCACCCCCGTGCCTCGTAGAGCACGTAAAGCCGTCGGTCCTGCGCCTTAACTCTCACCGGTCGTGTCTAGTAGTCGTCCCACCGGAGTATGAGAGTTACAGGAATAGAGAGTGCACGTTGTGTCTGCGCGTACACTTGTGCACTATAATATCTCCTGCGCAGTTGGCTTGTCTCAATGAGATTGGCAGCCGTGGCCGGAATCGGTCAGGAGAACATCATAATTTAATCAATGCTTTGTTGTTTTCTTTTAAATATTAGCGTAATGTATAACCTTATACTCGTACATAAAACATGGTTAATTCCCACTGAGTTTCTTTCTTCAGTTTTTTTCGGTACTTTAGGATTCTCTTTTTAAGCTGATGATAGAGTTCATAACAATCGATTTTAATAGTTTTTGCTGTATGCGAGTATTATCGCTATTTTTCGCTTCGCTTTCGCTTCAGATATACTTTTTGTGAAGTAATGCACAAAATGTATAATTATAAGTACATTTGTTTGAATCACGTGAACGAGTCATAATCAAGCTGGTTGGTGTACAGTTGCGCGTGGGCGGCAGACAGCAGGCAGCAGGCGGCGGAGGCAGGCGGCAAGCATGGGAACCTCGCAGCCTTGTCTGTCGCTGCATTGTTCATGTACTACATTCATGACTCGTCCGTCGTTATTCATCGTCACGATACTTACTCATCTGATATTTCGACATCCTCCTTGTTGTTTGCCTTTTGTATACAAAATATAATGTTAACATAAAACTTATACCTATTATAATTTGGCGTACATGAAATAAAGCGATAGTCGACTTAAGGTTAAAGAAGATATTATGTTTAAACATTTCTTGCTCTTGAGTAAATCCAAACACAAAAATTTCAACTGTCCTTTTTCTCTTTATGTGAAAAGTCTAGGATGCATTTAATTGCTCTAATTTTCACTATAAATTTACATATACATTACGTATGGTGGGTGATAGTCCTTAAAGTTGAGTTATTATAATATGTGGTTACTGGTTATGTAGGTATATTACCTGATGTTACGAATGCTTCGATTGCTCAACGATGTCAAATGACATTATGAATTAGATGTCATTAGCAAGTAGCAGCAATAACTCACCATTTGTATTAAGTATGCAATAAATAGTAATATTTAAAAAGATACCAGTAATCGACAAGTTATTACAACAATGGGATTATGGATATATTTTTTTCTTTTGAGATATCTACTGTATTGAGGTTCACATAAAATAAAATATTTTACATTTCAGAAATCACTGTGTATCTATTTCTTCTTATTTCAAAATGTTTTAACATACGAATATAGTTTTGTAAACTAATGCAATTTGCACGACGACAATAATAATATACTGAAATGTATCAAATATATACTCAATGCGTGTGGCCTCTGATCACGCTCTGTTAAGTTAAATTTAAACTATAAAGTTTTTGTTTGTTTTTAAAATCTTATTTTATTTGTAACAAAAGATGTTTTAATACAGTGGCAGCAAGCTTAATCGACTCCTTTGAATGCAGCAGCTTCAATTCTCGATGGACTCTATCATCTGTTCCGTCACTTTACTGTGACTCTTGTTAACTTCGCTATTAAATAGCTTAAATGGTATTTAGTTTTTGTAAGCCTAAACGCCGTGATAGATTATAGTAACTATAAATAGTATTAATCTTGTAAACTGTTTTATTAATATAATAATAACAATAGATGTGGTAGTTAAACAAAAATTATTGGCGAGGCGTTATCGAGCATCCTTCATGATTCAGCTAAGTCTGCATTGTACAACCGCGCGGAATATTGACTCACTCTTATAATGCATATTTTGGTTATCTCGTCACAGGCAAAGTGCTTGTGCAATAAACACAAAGATAAGTTAAATAGAAAGATAACGGTATTTGTTTCAAACGAAATCAGTAATTACTAAAATAAATCAGATTAAAATATCTCTTAGTTAATTCCAAAACTCATAAACAAATGACAAGCATAATAACCTTATTATTATTATCTGGTGTTACAGTTACAATTTGCAAGCTCTCTACTCTCGCTTCTACTCTCTACGTGACTCTCCGCGACTTACTTAGACGTAACGGGATAATCTTAGAGGAGAGGAATCTAATTCTAGTCTTTGTCACTTTCCAGCCCATACTAGCGAAAGGAAAAAATCATGTCAGTACGCGCTGTGAGAAAATAAATAAAATCTCAAAGTAGTTAAACGACAAACACACTATCGCATTAATAATATCAGCAAATGATAACGATTTTATATAATATGTATACCTACCTACTGTTAACAAAAATTGTCTGCGCCGCTGAAAGTAAATTTTGCAACACCTTTAATCAATACTCTATAGTCAGTAAATAATGAAGTTGTCAGGTACATGTCAGGTTTGAGCAGTCGCGAGCACGTACAGTGTATACATGTACGTATAAATATTATGTACCAAATTCCTCGCGTGTTGTCGTTGCGCCCGGCCTTGATGTCGTGGAGCGCATGTCGAGGCGAGGCATTTATTCTATCCTTTATGTTTATATTTTAAGATTTTATTTTCATGAAAACATCTTCAACATGACACTTCTTATATTAAAGGACATAATATTATACAGAAACAGAAACACTATAATGAAGATAAATATTATATTCACATGAAGAACATAAGTACTCGTGGGAAAATACTAGTCCCACGGAAAAACCTCATTATCTGCATAATGGCTACACTAGATTCAATGTAAGGAAATTTGAAATCCTTGTAATGGTGGTAAGGAATTAGGAAATGAAAAGGAATAATTAACTCAGCTATTTCATCTACCTAGTTCATTTTGTCAAATTAATTATAACACTGCTATTTTAAATGTTACATTTATATTATATGCCCGCTTAGCCGACCTCTGATATATAGGGAGGTAAATTATTATTTTTAATTTTCAACACTTGTCCGCTTAGAACTGTAGCATCTTGAATAACACAATTGTAATTGTATTGAAAATGAAGCGTGTCTACTTCCTAGTACCTAGGTTTTCATTCAAATACGAGTATGTAACATGGAAATCTTTCTATTTTCAATATGAGGATTTTCTGGTTTTACCATTACTAGAAATAACATAGCCTTTAAATCATTGGAGATACTCGTAAATTTATTTTTTATATTAATAATAACCAATACTCTATTTTTATCTTTTATGGAACAATAAAATTGCTGATCTAAATTAATTCATCATAGTCCGGGCTAATCTTAACTTATTTAACATCGTTTTGCATTATTAGCAATATAATACCAAGTTTTTCATCCTTGCCCAGAAGCCTTTAACTAGATACTTAGAGAACTAATACTTTCTTAGATTTACGCGAATATTTGACATTTTAAATAAAACTATCTTTTCGGATTATCCATGGTCGGCATCCACGGGAGAGACTCTCCCGTGACCATGGATGTTGTAAAGCGTTCGAAACGTCGGAAACCAATAATCAAAATAAATCCGCGAAATAATACGAAAAGATAGTTTTATTTAAAACTTAGAGAACTATAACTACCCACGACGGAACGGAGACGGTATATGCGTTTGGGGTGAGAAGATGTTTGTTTGTTTGTTTGTTTGTTTGTTTGTTTCTTTGTTTGTTTGTTTGTTTGTTTGTGTGTGTGTGTTTGTGTAAATACATGTTGCCATTTTTCTCCAAAACTGCTAGTCCGATTTTGATGCAGTTTTCAGTTATGGGTTCGGGTTTAATTGGTGCATAATCTTAGATAGGTATTACGGTGATAACTCACCAGGGGGCGCTGCAGTAAACATTTGTTCGTGTAAAACCAAAACAACTAGTCCGATTTTGATGCGGTTTGCAGTAATGGGCTTGTAATTGATTAGTGAGGGTTCTTAAATAGATGTTACGATAGTAGCTCACTAGGGGCGCTCCATTAATATATATTTTATTTTATAGTAGGGTTCGAAATGATAATTATCATGATAATTAACAAGATAAATATGGGTTGATAATTAATTATCTTTGATAAATATAATTGAGAATATTTAATTTGTAGGTAACTCTTCAAATTGTCGATCAGCTAACTGAACTCTCTCAACCAGCTCAAAAACTCAATCAGCAAACTGAGTTAACGCAGTTGAGGAGGATGGGGATAATATTCCACTCATTAATTTCACTTGATTGTTAAAAGTGTATAATTTATTCTAACGTAAATTATGATAGGTAAATAGTCAAATACCAATACCTACACAAGGATTGCTAAGTTTATATCTGTTTGATAATTATCGGATAATTATCGCGATAATTATCAAAACATATATTTATCTTGATAATTTCATACCCTGTTTTATAGTAGCTACAACATAATAAGGAAACTCGATTAGTAAGTAGTAGAACTCGATAGATAAGTACTTCTGTAGGAAGAAGTGATGTAGAAACAAAAATTCTGTAGAAAAAAAAATTAAAACATACGTTGTACACGATTTAAGCGCAAAAATTTATGTGAGACAAAAGACGAAGGCAACGTACATACATAATATCTATGCTCTCTAAAAAGTTTAAAATAAAGAGCAAAATTAGAATTTTGAAAAAACCCATGACGGTTAAAAAGTAATTAAAATAGGATAAAATAATTTAAAAACCCTCGACTTAAAAAATAAATGTAACGCGAGATAAACTCAAGCATATCCGTCGGGGGCTGCCATCACTATTTTAAATTTCATCGTAAATAAAAATAAGTATCATCATCAAATTCTAAAGGTCCTCACTGTAGGGGCACGGCCTACCCATTAAGGGTGTAAGTATAGCGCTAAAAAATCACAAATTATTCACTATAAAACTGCAAAACTAGTTCATAATGGCAAATATTAATGGTCAGAATTATTTGAAACTTGGTATTAATGCTCTTCAATACAATTAAATAAATACATGTTTTGGCATTTTCTGAAATTCATCAATCCATAAGGGGATAAAATAGGGATTGAAAGTTAGTATGAAACTCTGTAATTAATATCGGTGCCTCCTTTTTTTTTAACGTTGGGAAATGCATTTACGCACGACGTGTGGGACTCACCGGCGTAATACAGCCAGTACTACCCACTAAAATCCAACAAAACCTTCCCCCGTCTTAATGGGGCGTCGCAGGATCGCTTACGCATTCAACCACGACGCCCCGACGGCAGGTCTGCCAAAGCAGACCACCACAACCATGGGGTTGCTCCAAGGTCCACTCTGCCATCAGAGAAGTACCAGGAGCAACCCGCAAGGTACACCGCCCCCTCGAAGAGGGCCACCTCCCACCGCCCACCGAAGTGGGCAACCTCCCTGTGCGTTTCTTAGCTTCGCGCCCGGTTGGATTGCCGGGCACTACTGAGCCCCCCCACCACGACAAGGTGAACGCACGTTGGGGGGGGGGGGGGTGGAATATCGGTGCCTCCTGTGACAAGTGATACAAGTCAAAAATCTACATTTTACAGGAGAGCAAAAACAAGATTTAAAAAAAATTCTAGTTCGCGTTCTAAGTGGGCTAGGTTAAACTTGAGTACCTTATTTTGTAGATAAAAACATTCACTTTTACTGTGCATTAAAATTTTTCCGGTAAATATTATAGTTTTAAAGTAATTATAGAAAAACTTGTGAGTTGTACCTTTTTTTATATCTAGTACATGCTAAAATTACGTGATAAATGGTACAAGTACAGTTAAATTATGTTGCACCTATAAGTTGTCGTTGTGTGAATTGATATACATGATGTAAAAATATCTAAAAACTC